TGAGCAACACAAACGTAGGATGTGAGTAAGACAGCGGTGTTTGTTGGGCAATAGATTTTCCCCGAACTATGTCGCTTTTAACGGACGACCATCGAAGAATAACCCGCAGAAAGAGACCTCAAATCGGCTGGAGCAGAAGGTCTTCGGAATCACTTTATACCTATAAGTGGTTTAAAAATGTCGGGTTCGCATTCCGCTGCCACCAGTGTAGCGTCCTGAGACCTCCTGGCCGGTAATAAGAGGTCAGTAAGTGCAGTTGGATACGTGTATTCTAGAGACGACAGGATGAATGGGCCTGGGCACGGCTCGACGGCGAGGCCACGAGTACAATGACCAGACCAATCCTAAAGTGGCAGCCAAACGTCATGTGATCACATAAACACCGCATTACATCTACTAGTAACATTTTATATTTTGGCGCAAAATATCGTATGATCCTTACCACTTATGGCTGTCTCTTGAATCTAATATTTCTCTCAACACGCAACACGTGTACTAGAACCAGACCAATCTTAGGGTTGGTGATCGCCAAACAAAGTATTACATTCAACTATCCGCATTTTAATTTATTTAAATTTTGACAAAGTATCTGACTCCGCTTCCGTTTTGTTTATCGTATGCAACGGTTTTCCCCTAGAATTTGATGCAACACTGTGTGGCATCTCGAGACTTTTCACGGGATAGGAGTCGGTAAGTGGAGCTGAATGCATGCACCCCAAAGAGAATAGACTAGGCTTGAGCTTCGCCGGAAGGTCAACCTACGAATCTTAAAGTAAGCGCTAGACGTCGGATAGTCACATGAACATAGTATTACACACCGTGCACTATAACCCTTAGATTAATCTATTTATAATCAAACAAGTATAACGCAACCATCAAACACCGCTGCGTCTACCTAGACCTAGGTAATGTGATGAGCACTTCCTTCGAGACTCCTTTTATCAGAGTATCGCTCGTCGCAAAACTTCTCGTTCGGCGGCAGTAGGCACTGGGTTCGGCTGAAAACGCACAGAGTGTAAAAGCCAAGCCATGGACGAGTCCGAAGGCCAGCCTGCTTAGCGAAAGCAGAATAGCTACCAGCCATGACTCAACTGATGCCCAAACTGCCACCTTGCACCGACCTAGACAGATTTGAGGGCTTCATGTATTGCTAAGGGCGCTTCTCATCTCCTCAGACGTACAATTCACACCAATCATGCTGCACGTACTACTCAGTCCACACAACGATCTCTCCGCGACCAGTTCGCACACAACTCAAGGCGCTTTCTGCAACATAACTAAGACCTCCGTGCATCGGAGTCGAAAGACAGGCCTTTCCCCGTCCTGCACCAACGCACTTCAATAAACATGCAATTGGCCCTGACTTCGGGTCGTGCAGGTGGTTCCCGTTACCTCTTGGCCCCTAAACAAACATTTTCCCGAATTATAGTTTTTTACATTTCGAAAACTGAAGTTTGTGATCAACGAAGTCGCCCGTGACTAATAACAATAACAACCAAAGTGATTTGATTCAACCAACTTTCCAAACCCACCCTAATTAAATTGGATGATACCACCACACCGTCAAATAGCTGACAGTCTTCAAAAGTCCCGAGACGGTAAATATTAACACCTAATCATGACTAGTCTTTACAGCATTATCTTGTGGAAGAACTCGCTTGGAGCTACTTTCCCTCCTCTGCAGCACTGAAATGAGCCCGATTGCGAATTATCACAGTCCACCTATCAAGTGCAGGATTCAGCTCTTGCAGTCGATTCAGCCACTGCTGAATGAGTCCGGGAGGTGCCGGCACGGGAAGCGAGACGGTGGGATCGGGCATCTCCTTGTAGGTCAGACCCCCATAGGCACGCGCCTGAGTCTCCAGTGCATTCGACATTGGCGCCACCACACCCACGCCCATAATAGTGCCTTCAGCCTGCTCATGACGCGTCAAGTTCTCCGGGAGATGGGTTATTTGGTGTGAAGGCCCAAAGCCAGCCCACATAGCGCGCCGACGCTCCGCCGTCACAGTGCTACCCCTTCTCATCAAGGAACTCCTTTTGGGTTGAAGAGTGATCAAACTACCCTCCTCATGACCTGTAAGGGCTGGCACTACAGTTTGTGGCGGTGGAGGCAGTAAACTATCTGGCGGGAGGACTGGCTGCAGCGGGGTAAGTTTCTCCCTCTCCGAACCAGGAATCGAGAAATCCCAAGAAGCTACATCACTCACTGACTTCAATCTATCTTCGATCTCTTGACACTTTTCCACCTGCGTTTTTAAACGCTGCTTGTCCAAGCTTCCCCAAAGAACATAGTAGGCGAGCTAGAAAGAAAAGATGACATATGGAATATAGTTACCTGGAGTTCCCGATACCAAAAGAACTGCGGTCCGTCAAGGTAGAGGACACTAGATTGTGGAGAAGAGACCAGAGTCGTGGCGTAGGCAGAGAGTAGAGCCCGTTGAGCGGGACTTTGACCACTTACCATACAATTCGGAGTGTCAGTCTCCTTAGACTCAACCTGAAAGTAGAAGGTTCAGTAATAGGGGATGACGACAGTAGATAAAACGTACAAAAATCGTGGAAAACTCGGTGCTGGGATCCGGGCAGATACGAGCAGCAGCAAGTTGAGCCAATTTAATCGCGTCCTCGCCTTCAATGTCATCTGGTAGTCTCTCCACAACTGGCCACGGATTGGCGTGACGCAGTTTTGGCAGCCAATACATCATTCTCCGATAATGGGTCATAGCGTAACTTCGAAAACCAAACACCTCGACAATCGTGTTGCCTACATCATCGTCCGGTATCACGTCTAAAAGAGCAGCACAAAGCATAACCCCACGCCGTAAATGTGTACAACTGTAAGCGAATGAGGGTTAGCAATTTCACAACGCAAACGTTTCGCGCACACATACGTGTCAGCGAGTGACTAATAACGAATATAATACAGTATTTTGGGAATGTCTCTTGTTCCCTTCAATTAAGCCGCAGTTGTTTACAGGTCACCTCAAATTGTAGTAATTTTAAAACGTACTACGCAGATCCAAATCTTTTCATGATCAAGACTCGAACTCCACATTAGACTAACCTCCGTTTTACTAACTCAGCAATAAAATATCGGATTCAGCAAGGTTAAATAACGTGCTGATGAAAGTGTCAGTAGTCGCAAAAGAGGAAGAGAAGTTAAAAAAACACAAGTCGCGTATAGCTAATGTTCTATGAGTTGTGAAGGAAAAAGATGCTGTTATGCGGTTAGTTGTTAAACGCAAGAAGGTCAAATTAAAAAAGTGTGCCATTACTGGGAATTAGTAGCAGCACCAGATAAGATTAAAATAGACGGAGTAATGAGGACAAGATTGGTTCCATACGACTGCTGAAACCTTTCAAATGCGGTTTAAAAAATTGGCATCATAAATTAATTTAAAATTTATATATCTCAAGCAATACAAGAGGATGCTCTAGTAAAGGCAGCAACATTTACAAACACTGGTGGCCTCCAGGAGGGGCTATCTGCGGCGCCAGTTTCCTCAGTGGGACGCAAAGTATGTCTCACATACAGAAACCAATCAGTAAATGAGAAGAATGATGGAATGCCAATAAGGCGTACAATGACAGACTTAGGTTGTAAAATACAAACTAAAATTGAGCCTCACGATTGGTATTGAGTTGCAAAAGCAGTCGGACGACAGTGGCCTGCTGTTCCATATATCCCCCCACATCGGCGTGGAGAATGGATTTGGCTTTTAACCGTCCACCGCGCGGCAGTACAGAAAGAAGGGCCTTGTAGGCCTCCAGATCGCCCTCTACTTCGTACGCTCGCATCTCTCGCATTGCCGCCAGGATGAATTCGTTAAAGCCACGTCGTGAGCTTCCAGAACGGGCCTTAAAGAGCTCTATTGTGTCCAGAAATGTTGCTTTCTTCAGCTGCTTCAATTGAGAGCGCTTTAGACCCAATGTAGTCCGCGAGACCTTTGACAACTTGTTCTGCTCAAAGCTTCTTGAGGCTTCAGCCCAGCTAGGAAATGAAAACGTTAAAATAAACTAACAAAACAGACCGCTGAACTTCAGACGAGGTGAATATGGCCTACATGAGGTCCGCATGAGTACCCTCAGCCTGAGACTTGGAGCTTGAGGTTTCGTCCTGCTTCTTCTTCCCTCTCAAGAACGAGAACAGTGTCCGTTTGTTATTGAGAGCAACGGTCAAATTCTTTTGACCACCTTCCAACAGTCTACCCGAAGACCGCAGCTTAAATTTACAAAGATGATTCATGCCGACCAAAATTAGCTCCATTGGAACTCGCATTCAGTGTGAGCACAAAAAAACAATGACAACCACATCAAATTAAGTTTATTGGCATAAATACAGGAGGTTTGGATTCCAATAAGGAAGAAGGGGAAACAGTCCGTCTAGTACTTGAAGGCCGTTTGAACAAGTTCACAATTGTGACTACCATCACAAAAAGGAGGGGACCCAGTCTGCTTGCACATGCAGAACCACGCAACAGTTTTTCTACAAAATTATTGCCGAAGAAATTCACACTACCCCATTACAAGTGAATGACCAGTAATGAAGACAAATGGTAAAATGGCAACAGAAAGGTAGCGCATTTATTAGGTAAAACAAGACATACTTCTCAAAAGTAATCTTAATTGGTTTGAACATTGGCTTTTGGTTTCGAACAGGCCACTTATGAATCGTTCGAGAGTGATGACCATCACAGAAGGGTTGTTCTTTACTCTGTCCGCACGCACACCACCAATATATCTTCTTTGCCTCGCAGACAAAACGGAACGGATGCTTACCGGCAATTTTTGGTTCTTTTGCTGGTGGAAGCTCATCTATATCAATGTTAAGAAGGATAAAATTATAATTAGAAGGCCTGAGGATAAAGCATGCCTAAAGACACGCTGAATGTACGTACTAAACAACAATACCTCGAAACTTTGGAGTCTCAGGATGAGGTGATGGCCTCCTATTGCCTTCCTCGTCAAAGCGTTCAGAAAAGGGAATGTAGTAAGATCCAGGAGCTAGAAATCTCCCCCCACGGGTCGATAGAACAGGAAGCAGCAGCTTTTGGCTCAATGAGATTTGCGGACTTAACATCACTAAAAATCAAGAGTTCAAAATCTCTGTACTTCTAGCGCAATCACATTCACATCTTATGCAAGCACCTGTAATTTGGCGTACCCAACTAGGCCACCTGGTAGTCGCATAAGTACAGTATTTTCCATTCAGCAATCTGAAAACATATCAAATGTGCAGCCTGTTTGCATAGTTAACTAAACAATCAAATCCTACTACCAACGCACCTACCACCACGTCTCGGGAGAGACTGCGGATATTCGTGACCTCCTAACACACAACTTACTTGCCTTATTTTGAGTCTATTTAAATAAAGCAATATTTGTTACATTGTAATTACCCTTTTTAAATGTATTTGTGGCAAACATTTCTTATCTCCCTTTGGTTTTGAGCCCAATATTGCGCTAATGCTGCTGCAAAGTAACAAAGATATAAAAACATGCTCAAAATTTAAACGCACAAACTATAGTAGGAGTGTAACACCGCGTTTATCTAACTGTCTGTAGAACTTGTGGTCTCTGTTCTGTTTTTTGTCTTGCTGCAAGTTTTAATGACTGGGTTTGTGCCAAGTCAAAGACCGACACTCGGGTGTCGGCGGAAAATAAACCCAATTATGTCACGACTATATTACTGGTTTTGGCTGCATGTAGAAAACTTCGGTGGTGTGTGAATTTCATAAACGTCAGATGAAAGAATTTCAAACTGCTCTGCAAGAGAAGGGATGAGCTCGTCGTCTGTGTTGGGCATCGACCCTAGCTCAATGTTATACGGACTAGCTGCTAACATAATCGACGTTGCCTCGAGCCACTTGGAGAACTTTCATTTCGAGCCTGCGATGACACTGCACTGGGTCTCCCAGTTTCTCTGTTAAACCCACAATTGGCGGCCGACTGAAGTATGCGCTCCCTCTCCTGCTCTTAAATCAAACCAAACTCTAGCTCCAGTTAAAGCTGCTAAGAAGACCAAGTATAGTTTATCAGTATCACAAGAGCTAACGATTGGTACGGCTAGCTCGTGGGTGCTTCGTTGCAATCCTAAAATGTTTGCATGGCTAGCATAGGAGACGCACTAGGGAGAGCGCTAGGAAGTCGCTCAAAAGAAGGTAGTGGCAATGTCCTACCTCGTTTGTTTAAATATTCGTAGGACTGGCAGCCACTTCCTGGTATCCATGCCGCTCTTGTTTGCGTTGGCTGACCTTTGAACAACCCAAAGCCCTAATTAATGCCCTCTTCTGCCAAATGGGAAATCTCGAGGCGTTGCAAGACGCACTCTCTCAGAGTCTAAGTGATCACTACTGATCTGCCTATCGTGATGGCCTGAAAATCACATCCCCCTGACAGGATTTCGAATTAGTTTGGTTCCCACCCCTGTGCAACGACCCAGTTACGAGAGTAAGATCTGCAGGAAGGTCCTGCCCCGACGAATCCGAACACCAGTGGACCAGTCAGGGAAAATAGCGTCTGTTTTAACTCCCCACCCCAAAGTGTTAAGTTCCCTTTTAGGAATTGAGGCTTCAAAACCATAAACCCACGAGTAGTCACTTCAGCAACACAAAATGAGAGAAACATTTTGGAACCATACAAATTCTACTGATTATCCAGCTCGACACATTGTTTACATCTGAGAGTTAAGGCTATATCCTAAAAAAAGCCTGAGTACCCTCAAACTAAAACTAGTTCATATACAAGTTGAAGGGGTACGACTCTGTACAAAAAAACGCAAGCCCACTCAAGGCTGAAATTAGTAAATCCTGTCATGATGGATGTTATCTTCTTGGATAAGTGGACGCCGTATCTGCCCCATGGGGACACGCCCTGCTACAGGATGGTATTGGTACGGTCCAGGTCGCTGATGTGGTCCCATGTGATGACCACCGTGGTAATTATGATGTACCTGTGGGAGCTGCTGATGTTGCTGTTGCTGGGCCCCGCGGACATGACGTGGATTGGAAAAGAATTCTAAGTAGCTCGTGCCTTCTCGAGAAAAGACTCTCAGGTCACCTGGAGGAGGATCTTCGTAGAAGTAGTCGTGGGAAAGTGCTTGGTCGGCGGTAAAGCGCTTGGATGGATCAATGACCAACAGTTTATCAATCAAATCGATAGCTGAAGGAGAAGACACCTTGTCCTTTAAGCGTTCTCGAACATGCCGCTTTATGTCACGCGGAAGCTGAGCATCGCGGAAGGCATCCAAACGCTCGACCCCTGGCCACACTTCCGAGTTTATTGAGCCGCAAAGGTTGATAATCAACTTTAGCTGACCAAGCTCATTTTCGCCCTAGCAAGTAAAATTGTACTAATGGAAAGTATTTATTAAATCAGTCCTCAGCTTAGGTCAAGAACATGGAATGCGCAATAATTGTTAAGAGGTGCACGGCCACATGGTGCAATGTTGACACCACAAGCGACAAGACGCTTAGTAATGAAATGACACCGACAGTCGGATCGACAGTGATAAAATTAAGGTATGGAATCCGTTAGTTTCGATGCAGTAATTTTTTTACACAAGAAACAAAATAACTTAGAGCAGCTCCATCAAATGCATTAATATATCTCGTGATTCCGGAAAAATAAATAAACTAAGAGAAATCCAGGAGATATTCAACAACGAGCAATAACGCATATTAGCAGACGCAAACTCTATAAGTAAAAGGCGCAGTTACCTGCATTATAGGGTACTTCGTCCACAATTCAGCCATGATACAACCAGCTCCCCACATGTCAACAGGTTTCCCATAGTTGCGATCGTTTAGTAGAATTTCAGGCGGCCGATACCAAAGAGTGACAACTCGTCCAGTGTAACGAGGAGGCCGATCAGGGCGGATAGACGCAACAGTTCTTCGAGCTAATCCGAAATCCGCAATTTTCAAAACTCCTTGTCTGTTGATCAGAATATTAGCTGCTTTCAAATCTCTGTGAAGTACATTGTTTCTAGGAGGGAAAATAACAGAGTAAAATAACAAGCACGTAATAATCTATAAATCAAATAAGTACATACATCACTCACTTGTGTAAATAGAAGAGTCCTTTCAACAGCTGGAGCATAATAGCTTTTTTGACGGAATTCGGAAAATCAGCCCTCTGACTAAGACCAGCGAGATCATGATCACAGAACTCAAAAACCAGAAAGAACTGTGGACGAAAGCATGAACGCTCATCCCCTTAAAATAATACAATGATCATCACCCTACTTGTGCTGTAGCAAACATCTTTAAGACAAACAATATTTTCATGTTGCAAAGACTGCAGTATGCGGATCTCACGAATGGCAGTTATCGGAAACTTGGGGATGTTGCTTAAGCAAATTAAGAACGTAACATACTCCTTCCTTTTCCTGCTCTATTCTAATCCTTTTAAGGGCGAAATGCTGTTTTGTCACTCTATGCCTGGCCTTGAACACCTCGCCAAACGTCCCCTGACCGATTTTTTGGAGACGCTCGTACCTTTCAACCGGTGATACATTTTGTAAGCGGCCAAGGACGTCTTCAACATTCCTGAAAACTCCGCTATAATCAGCTTCCAGGTCCTCTACCATACTGGCAGAAATCGAAGGCTCGGAGAATATGCTCACCGGCATCGCGCCGCCCAGGTAGACACAACTTCGAAGTACCAAAGATGGCGCCTTAAGTCGTGGTCACAACAAATACAAAAATGGTAAATTCAATAAAAAGGCAAAGGTGTTGTCACAGTCATTTAAATTTTTACAACCTAATTTTTTACCTCTGAAAACATATTGCAAACTTGTAAAAAGGTTAAAATTTTTAAATTCTTTCCTCACTTAGTTAGGTCCGTCTAATTAAAAACAAATGTTACAGTTTTGCAACAAATCTATGCCACTTTTAATTGCTTATACAAATAAATTTAGGATATTCGTTACTTGCTCCCACTGTCGTCTGAGCCCCTATCGGTTGTTCCCTCAGGAGCTATATTGTAGTGGATTTAGAGATATTCCGCATTGGCTGTAGATGTCAGTATAGAAACAAGCAGTAGTACTGTCTAATAGTAACCCCTGCGACGTCTCGAAACTTTGCACAGGACAAAAGAAGCCAATAAGTGAATCTGGATACATGTATTCCAAAGAGGGCAAATCAAATAGACCTGAGTGTGGCCTGAAGGCTAACTCGCGAGTGCAAGGGCCATACAAATTGTAAATTGATTGCCGAACGTCAGATAGTCACGTAAACAAAGCATTACAGCAACTAGTAACATTGACCAAATTTATATCAAATCTGTGGGCTTCATGGAACTTTCACCAACAGGTTTTTTTCTCAACATTTTCACGGAAAATGAAGTTGTAATTAAATAAAATGCATTTAGTGGGCGAAAATATGTGTGTTGTGTCTTATGGCATGACTGCATGGCCGGCCCACCCAAATAGTGGTCGTCTAATTGACTGAAATAGACTGCAGCGGCCGAGCAAAGCACAGCATCCCTAATGTTCTTCTCGGTAGACTCTTCGTCGATGGACTTTAATTCAACAACTTTAAGCGCCAACTTTTCTGCAACAGAATGTAAGCACAACACCTTAAAATAGCTAGTCCTTTCGCAGATTTAACAAATTGTGAAGCTTTTATTTAAGGATGGGATATAGAGGTAGCGAATTCGGTTGAAAATTGCTCGTGTTCGTCGGTAGACGCTGGTTTGCTAACCTTAGCCGAATTTGTGGAAGTGAGTACGGGACATAACATAATCGTGTAAAAAATGAATTCCTTGCAATTGTACATTTCCCTCATTTTTAATTTTGTTACGACAGGAGAGCTTAAAAATAGAATCTTACCATTTGTGTGATAGCAGACGTCTCTGTTGTAAATTGTTTTTACATTGTGGGCATGGAAACAAGGTGGCTGCGAAGAGTAGCTCTAATTCTTAGCTCCAACGTTTTAAAATTGTAGCATGTACGGCTCACTATCGCCGTTAAAGTTCGTTTGAAAAAGTCGGAACCTGGATAGAAGCCATTTCAGAGTTGAGTTTGCTCTTCGCTGCTGCCAACATAGTGCACTCAGAATCTTTTACAGACAACAGAATGCATAGTGCTTAGACAGAATATACAGATTCAGCCAAGATGGAAGGCGGTCGAGCATTCGGCACGATCTAAAGGCCAGTCTATCTAGGTAGGCCGATTTGACGACACTGCGATGCAAACCTTGTAACAAAATTTAGTTTCGAACTACACCTTGAAAGTGAGACCCAGCAACCTGCCCCAAGCTAGGCTCTGGAGGGTGAGATATATCATTCGGATGCTAGCAATGTTCGCACTTTCCCTCCCTTTTTACCATCCCACAATTCTGCTGCAATTTCCATAGTAAACTAAATAGTTTTGCACCGTCTACCACACTCAGCAGTCATAAGCTAGTATTCAAATTCGATGCTTAGCATTGTCTTGTACATCGGAAAACCTGTGTGCAGAATTAAGTAGTGAATAAACGTATCTTACATAAGCGCAAATGGCCGCCGATATGGAATCACACACCATCACACTGGGAAAACCAGTTACCTCAACTACTTTTCGCTTCCATTAGTAATGTAAGTGGCTTCACAACCATTAAGCGAGTGATTGGTACAACCTAAATCCCTACCCAAAGCAGACATCATTTTTAAATATCTGCCTTTACAATGGTGGGATATGTTTGACATTCTTATTGCACTTTATTTCGTAAACTTTATTTAATTCAACAATTTTATTTTTGATCTAAGTAGGTGGAAGAATTCAACCTTGCAGACAACTTGCATTGCCTTTTAAATTGGTTACAACTTTCTTCGCTATTTGTATTGTACGTTCTTTAAAAGGTGTAACCCAGTTGCATATTAAAACAATAGGGGTGCACATTGGTGGTAAAAGCACATCATAGTCTTCTGTCCCTTCATTTGTTAAGTTGGAAGGAAAGCGTTTCATGGATGGTGGCAAAATTTTCAATCCACCATGAGCCAATCAAATCGCTCCACGGACTGGCCCGTTGGGAAAGACGAGGGTGAGGGTGGGTTAAGGGGTAGAAGGGGAGAGAGGGAAGGGGAAGGGCTTGAGGTTTTCAAAGTGCCATATAAACGAGTCTGTGGTGTGTAGCATTCTTTGGAAAAGGCATCCACCGAGTCCACGTACGCACATATTTTTTCCCCGAAATATGTTCAGTCGGTCATTTCTGTGTCGCTTCCTCCTTGTCGTCATCTGTCTCCTCCTTCTAGTCGCCAATTGCAGTTACTCCGCCCCCACCAAAGTGGTCAAGGTTCGACAACGACCGCTACAACTCAGCGAGAAGCTACTCGAGATGCTCAACGAGCATTTCCACACTTTCGGCCGACCTCGGTGAGCCACTAGTCCTTGTAGGGCGGTCATGACCATGAATAGGCTATGTCCTCTCATAACAGACAGTTAGTTCTCTTTTAAACCATGCCACAGCACATCACTTTTCTATCATCCTGAGCTAACTAAGGTGACAATTTTCTGCCTACATTTAGTCTTTGCCTCTTACTTGCTCTACTGCATTCTTATTTTACTGTGTCAATGTGGGCTCCCCATCGAGTGGTCTTACTTAACTTACTAATAAAAGCAACAATAAATCATTTCAAACGCTGTGCACGGGGGACATTGGGAGAAACTTGCCTTGTCCAAGAATGAAGTGGATCAACAAAAATGTGTTGGTAGTGACATCCGAATTCGATGCCTCCGATTTCTCCACCGCTATCACAACCCACATTTGATAAATTTGTCAGCATGTTTGACTACTAGAGAGGAACAGGGAGTTTGGCGAGAACGTGCCCTCTCCTTGCCCACCTTGAGGCCTGAAAGGTAGTGAAAGATCCACAGGTTTAGCTGAATGGTGACTGACTTTGAATTGAGTGAAACTGATGTCTTGTTTGTTTGTCGTGGGGACATTTGTGATTAAAACTCCCTTCCGATTCAAATTTTGCCATGCTTGCAGTGCTCCTAGGAAAAAATAAAATTCGGCCGGTTTTTTTACTGAAGCTCTTTGCTGCTGATGCCCTGGTTCAGCGATTGTCTCCTAATTTAAGAAAAATATCTAAGTCTTTAACTTCCCCTCCGATGAAAAATTTGTTTGAGAGCGAAGTTGCTATAATCTAACGCATTTCGATTTCACTCAAAGAAAATGTGAGGTACAACCAGCCAAAGGCCATAATTCAGCCTCAAGCGCAGAGTTGGCAGCTTCTTTGAACGCTGTGCAACTGATGACACTTTTCAAATCTGTAGAAAGTCATGCGATAAGGAGGGAAATGAAAGGTATAGATTGACGAAAGGAAACAACGTTGAGCCCACTGCAATTCCTTAAGCCTCCCTGAGCTCCAAGTCACAACTGTGTTCACAATGGGACATTTGTTTGGACTAAATTTTAGGTTCGGAAAAAGGTATTATTCAAACGATGACTGGATGTACTTCCTGCCACCGCAAGAGGTCAACGATGTGTTGTGGTTGGAGGACTTTGAGCCTTTGCATAGACCTCAATTGTTGGAACCAGTGGCTCCTGAATTCATTGTTGACACCAACGACGATAGCCTACCGCAGGCTCAAAGAGGCAGACTGTTGAGGTCCCTGCGTCTTGACTACAACTGAGTGTCTTTCGAAAAGAACACTTCACTGGTACACCGCTTGCACCAGCAAACTCAGCTTCTTCTTGTATTCCTGACTCAAGTTTCTTTGCGATTTACCATATCATTAATGATGCATTTGTGTTTCAATCTCTGTGTTTTTGCATCCACTGCCGCATTCCACTCCTGGAATGAATGGCAGAAGCCAAGCCTTCTTCTGCATAACGCCACCAAGGCGTGTTGATTGCGACTACCTCCCAACGAGGACTGCCCACAAAGGTTGCATCTGAGCTAGAAGAACTACGTAAATCCTTTGTAAGAGATAGACTTAGGCAAACAAAACTACTTGCACTGCCAGTGAAAATTCATAGCTGTTCCATTGTGACGAAGTGGGAATGCATTTGAAGTTTGCTTTAGTGTCATATTGTCATCAGGGATAGGGTGTTTGGAACGAAGTGAGGGATATCTTATGACCTGATAAGCTTGGCTTTGCATCATGTGTGAAGACTTGTTTGACTCTGAACCACATCGAAATGTGCAGTAGGGAGGACATCGGAGCGATGAGGTCAGGTTCACTTTGAAGGCAGTGATTATTCGAGGAGATGATCAACCACAACGCTTGTGTAGCTAAATCAACAAATAAATTAAAAATTTCACAAAACGTTTACAACACTACTGCCCAGCTTATTGAGCCCTGATGGTAAAAGTATGATGTATTCGTGTTATTGATAATATTTTGGTAAGTTTTGATAAGTTATGAGGGGCCTTGGAACTTCTCCAAAGCCGAAAGGCGATCGGAAAGTCGAGCAGATGACACGCATTTGATATGAAAAGGAGCTCTAGACTACCAGAATGGCGTAGAAGGCAGAAACGCCAAGGAAAGTAGCTTGCCATTGAATTCGGGAACTTCGACTCGACCTACCTCCTAGGTCAACCGCCTCCTGTCGGTGGTGGAGGGTAAACACCTGCGCGTTAACCACGCCACCGACTACAGTCTCATACAGGGTGCAACAGTACCTGACCGCAAAGGTGCTAATTTCTTTTGATAATTCTGTTGGCATCGAATTGTCACCGACTATGGGAAATGTTTTCAGAAAATCATGCGTGTCCATAGCTAATCATGGGAACAGGGACTCGGAGTTAAAGTTCTCGTAGGTTCACTCCATCATGAAGTACTCACTTTAATACATAGTTAGGCGAGAGATGGTCGAGGGAGGGAGGAGCATCGCACGGTCGTCACATTGACGTCTTAAATTAGGTGAAATGGAGAGCTTTAGAACGAACTCTCAGTTAGTTCACGGCCTGTGTCGATCACATTGACACTGTCTATCATGCGGACCAGTGGGTCGAATGATTGTCCAAGGTGCTTGTAATTTTCATTTCGTCCACCACCCACAACACACACGCACTGCTTCCACATCACTAAGATTTATCATTTGAAGGCAGAAGTGAGGGCACCTGTCCTTCAATGCTGGGTTTCCTTTCTGCTGTCAATAATGTAACCCCTTGAGACTTCTTGAAGACATAAAATTCGAGCAGAATGTACAGTCCATAAACAGTGGGACTTTAAGCCACGGACACGATACAAAGTCCAGTTCATGCAAAGGAGGAACAGTGACAAAAGCTTCCATAGAAGTCGCTTTCTGTGAAACTGCGAATTAAACAACAAAATTGACGCAGCCTTTAAAAGTGGGATTTTAGCAAAAGCCTCAACTTTTTCATCCTTACAAATTTTAGCGAATTTTCAAAGTTACTCATTGTCAAGAGGAAGTTATTTTTAAGTACATACTAAAAGCCCAAAGATTTTCTCCTAGTCCTCTCTGCTGTTGTCTGCAGTCATCCATTTGAAAAATTTCATTGATGCCTTTAATTAACCACATCCATTGTTCTTTGACTGAGGGAATCCTTCCTCACTTACATAATGAGCTTCGTGAGTTCCACATCTCGACCCTGATCATACACATTTGTCTTTCTGTCCAATTTGTGCTTCTTTCCTGTGATCCCCATGGTCTATATCTGACAACTGCCCTCTCTTTTGCAGTCGCCTCAATTAATTTAGAGGAGTTAAAGTGCTACTTTCGCTGATTTGTCCTGCAAACTCATTTGATAATGTTGAAAGTTTGATTGAATCAACAGGAATGTAAGTGACGAAGGAAATTGAAGATATACGAAAGCATGCATCTTTTCGTTTTTTTTACATCACAATATTTTATTTCACAAGTAACAG